CCACAGCATTGCTCCTCCTCCAGTGCACTGTGTAATTTCCCTGCCTCATTTGGACCCATCAGTCAATCTGCTGCCACTGTAGTAAGTTTATTTCATCATTTTTGATGGATCAATGCTATTTTACTACCAAGAGGGTACCAGCGACTACATGGACTTGTGCAAATTTAATGCCATGAAAAATCTTAATCTCCATGTTAGATTTAAGATTATTAATTTATGTGTTTGGAAAAGAAGCCTCTTCAGTTTTAGAAGACACCAGTTAAACATTTGTGAAGAGGAAGAGCTCGGTTTAGAAACAACTTTTCCTCCCTCTCTTCCAACCACACCTGCCAACACAACAGATATCATATAAAAGAAACACATGATTTTACTATTTGGAAGGAACCTACAAAAAACACTATGGAAAAAAGTGATGTCTTTAGGGATGATTACTTAAGTCCCCAAGGCTTGCATTTGATTGTCATCTGAAATGTGAAATCAAATAGAATGAAGGATATTTTGGAAGTTTTCAAGAATCTTTTCCTGCTGTTAGCTTTTAATCTATACATCAATTGCTGATAAAAAAAAACTGAATGGTTAGAATATTAAATGAAAACTTACAGGTCCTTAGCAGGTACTGTGCCATCCTGCCACATCCAATCATATTTAGCTCCTTTTCTGTATAATCCAATCCAATAATTGTATTTCGTTTGTGTTTGAATGAAATTCTGTGTACAAATTAGGATTAATAGCATTACTCAAAATATCAATAATTTTTATCTACAACATTGGTACCAAACACTGGTCATATCTAATGTCAAACAAACCTATGATAAATAGAGCAGGCACTAGATTATTTACCGTGCAGAAAAGCAGCAAAAGTAAAAGAGCCAAAAAACAAACTTTCGCAGCTTTGTGACTCAAAAAATATCATGAAAGGCCCATAATGATCAAAGCCATTTGGTCTGTCTGTCTCTCTCTCTCTCTCTCTCTGACAGACACTCTTTCCAACATTTTTCCACTTTAGTTAACTTGTGTAGAAGGAAGATTATGATGGTTTATCTTCTCACATCTACTGAAAGTATAGATATATACGAGAAGGGTGATAAATCATCTTTTATTATTTCTAGAACTCTGAAGAGTCACTAAAGTAAAATGCCTACTAATTCATTCATTTATGTATTTTTGCTGGATTATCCATAAATCATAAAGACATAGCCCATAATAACTAAAGAGCATTCTATGGCATGCACAGCAAGGCCCTACCTGCTGCTTTAGATAATGTTTTTACGTCTCTTTAAAGCCTGTGTCTTCTCCCCTGCAGATACAAGCGCTCCCACCAAGCGGGCCCAATAAGACTGGAGCAAAGTCTAAACAGCCACCCTTACTCAGGCCATGCAGGCTTCTCACACTTGATTAAATGAACGTACCTGTTCCTCTTTGTCATTGATGGTAACAAGATGAGATTTCTTGTCCTGGCATGACTTTGCACTCTCATTCCAAGTTGCCTCTTCTTTAGAAAAATAGTAGCAATTTGTTCCACAGCAAACCCATTGTCTTTGACAGGATCCACAATGTCTTTCTTGAAAACAAAAGCCACCGCCACCCCCAACCCAAGACCAGTTAGAGACATGCACTTTTAGGTTTTCATCTGGTTTCTTCAGATGGAGTGACCCTAGAATAAATGGATTTTCTATACCAAATCCCGTTGTGTGAAATTCTATTGGGGAAAATACTCAGCCAAAAACTGTCTCTAACAGACACGGGGCCTTTGTGAAGCCTGCCCTGAGCAATCTGCAATTCTCAAGTATGAACAAGCTGCAGGGCTAGGAAGTAGTTCTCCCTGATTCCTGAATCCATCAAAGTGAATGAACAGCAATGGTGTTAACTTCAGGGCTTCCATACTGGGGAAAATATATCCTTGCGCAAGCTCAGACTATTCAAATACTCAGTTCAATATGTGAAAATCATGTGTTAGATATAATGTGAAAATTGGATTTAATGAGTTGAGGAGAGCAAAATTCATGCCCATGCCAGGGGGTGTGGTGGCATAATCGATAATATTGACACCTGTGACGCTGAGATCTCCTATGGGAGCCAGTTCAGGTCCGAGTTGCTCAGTTTCTGATCCAGTGCCCTGCCAATGCGCCTGATAAAGCCGAAGATGACCCAAGTGTTTGGGCCCCTTGAACCCATGTGGGAGAACTGTATAAAGCCCCGGGCTCCTGGCTTCATTGTGGCCAAGACCTGACCGGTACAGCCATTCAGGAGTGAACACATGGATGGACTATCCCTCTGTGTGTGTGTGTGTCTCTCTATATATACCTCTACCCTTCAAAAAAATGAATGAATCTTAAAAAAATCATGCTAAAGTTCAATATAAACTTTGTAAATTATATATTGAAATAGTGCGAGACAGGGTAAGTCCACACAAAAGAACTCTGTCAGCTGTTACCTTAAACACTGAGTACACACCTGTACCAGGTGGTGAAACCGAAGGCTGTTCAGCTTCCACTGAGGACATGTTGTTTCCATTTGTGTTTCCCGTATCCTGCATCGTGCAATCACAACACCTCTGAAAAACTTCAATCCACAATACAAATTTAGTATCATGAATGGTTCCAATAGATCATTTTATTATGAACGCAGCCTCTAACTCTAGATAACAAAGTAAATGATGCTGGTATGTGGTAATAGATCCATAAAAAATATATGATTCAAATATAGGTAATTACAAGAATTTGAAACTTACAATATGTTATGTTTAAGGCACATGAAGCAGTAGTGAACATTTCATAAAACAGAAAAAACCTGGAAATAAGTTTATCCATCGCAAATTGGCTTTGACCATGTGCACTGCTACACTGAATCTACTCCAGGAAATAATGTTGAATCCTCTCTCTTGGCAAATTTAATGAGCATGTTTGGCCGCTCTGTGATTTGAATTTTCTATTCTACTTGAAAGCATGGACTATCTTTAGCTGACCCTTCATCATGCTATATTGCTTGGCTTCCTTCCTAATTTTCTAATCAAAGGGGTTGTTTTCCACATGCACTCACATTCAATCCATTTTAAATATCGATTTATCCTTAAAGGAGTTCATATATCACCCCCTCGTTTTAAGAGGCTTTTTCATGATCTGGTTTCTGCTTCCTCAACCATATTTTCAAATAACTGTAATATCAACTGATGAATCCACGATTCACTTCTCTAATCTAGGCATCTCTCTTGGTCCCCAAACATTAAACCCAGCATGTGTGCACCGATGCTCCATGTCTGTTCCATAGACCCACTCTGGAAAAACAGACTAATTCAATCCTTTCTGAGCATCTCCACTAACAAGCCGTGAACACCTCAGTCTTCACCATTGTTAACACACACACACACACGCATAAAAGAGAAGCCAGTTCTTCTTGTCTTTGACATTAAGCTTGTGTATGCTTGATATGAATTTTAAATGCTGGTTCCCTCCTCCTGTTCATCCACTCAATAAAATCCATAGTGATGCAGTTCTACATATTAAATATTTCTCAAGTGTGCCACTCACCTTTCATCATTTCTCTCATGATGCTAATTTGGACAGCCATTGTCACCAACCTTAATTTCTGAAGCAATTTCCCCATATATTCCTCCCCTACTATCACTCAGTCTACTCAGATGATCTTTTCTGAAATCCATTAAATCTTCATGTGAAATAACTTATATTGTTTTCTCACTTTAAATCATCAAGGAGTTTCCCTTGCTTTTAAGGGAAATCTAAAATTTCTTCAGGTGTGATAAAAGAACTTCATGGGGGCAAGCATTCCCTAAAATGGCTGAGACGCTGCTTGTGATGCCCATAGTCCATCCTGGAGTGTCTGACTGCTCCCAAATCCAGCTTTCCACTAATAACCACCTGGGAGGAAGCAAGGGACAGTTCAAGTCGCTGAGTCCCTGCTACCCACAGGGAGAACTGAATGAGCTCCTGGCTCCTGGCTTTAGATTGTGCCAGCCCAGGCTATTGTGGGCATTTGGGGAGTGAACCAGAAGATGGTCCAACTCTCTTTCTCTCACTCCTTCTCTCTCTCGCTCTCTCTCTCACTAATATAAATAAAAATAAAGTAATTTTGACTTTTTTTCTTAAAAATGTTTAAAGACCTTCCTGAAGATGCATACCTGTCCAAATTCATTTTCAGCCAGTTCTTCCACATACCCAGGAACTGTAATTCTCCAAACACAGATACGTGCCCTTTTCCCATGTTGTTCACTCCACTTGGATGACCATCTCTACCCTTCGCCTCCTAATTTCTCCCTGCCCTTTATCAGAGCAATTCTCTCCAACATGGAGGTTTTCTTGACCTGAAGATGTTATGCTAATCTGATCCCATCATTCTGTTAACACAGCACTAACTGTTTCATTTTGAAAACTTCGTAAATTACTAAATAAAGAAATTAATATTCCCCATTTCAGCTGAGCTCATTGACCATTGATTGTTTTTAAATTTCTGTGCCTTGGGTGCCACACATAGTTCCCAATCCTTAGAAGATGCCCAAAGTTGTTTGTTGAAGGAATAATTCAAGTAACAACAATCCAGAAAAGATTTTTTTTAGAAAGCAAATATAATGGACAAATTTTAAAACTGATATGAAATATGCTAAAACTGACTTTTTATTTGTATAGAATATACATGAGGTTTATTCTCCTTTGTGATGTAAGCACAAGAAATGCGATAATCAAATCAAGGTTCTTCCAGTTCACTATTCAGGTGCAGACCACTTCACACACAAAGAACGGTTGAAATATATATGTCAACCACACTGTGTCTATCAATGAAATTCCCATGTAATCACAGTGACTTATTATTTTGTGCGGCATAAATACTAAATGATAGTAAAATAATAAAATCTTCATCTTCATCAAAACTCTCATGATTCATAGCATGTCTACCGAACTTCACTGTTTACAAAGATGCAGCAATTACTATCTCTCATTTTCCCTCTGCCTCCTTGTCCCCATAGCAAATAGAAACCTCATACTCACACATATATCCTAAGCCCGTGATTGCCGGCAGGAGAAACAGACATATTATTCCCAGGATCACTATACATGGGTTTGCTGTACAAATGAAAAAGCAGAATATGTAATGAGCATGGCAACCAGATAAACCCAAGCAGAATGAGTGTTGATGCTGGAGTTCAGCATTAAAATCACTAATGAATCTTGATGTGAATGGAAGGGGAGAGGGAGTGGGAAAGGGGAGGGTTGCGGGTGGGAGGGACGTTATTGGGGGGAAGCCATTGTAATCCATAAGCTGTACTTTGGAAAGTTATATTCATTAAATAAAAGTTAAAAAAAATTAAAAAAAAGAATTGCATTGGTTAGGCACAACTCAATGAAATAGAGTTTCTGTTCAAGAAGGCTTATATCTAATGAACACAGTCTTGACAGCCATTCTTATCTGAGGCATAATTTGTATATGCTTAAGTTCATATCTCTCCTTGATGTTATTTTTAAGCTTCAAGAGCACTGAAAAGAATAAATATGATAAGGAACATGCATTGTCTATTGTTCAAATTTAATAAATGCTAACATTTTGTCAAACTGGCTTCCAAATTCCATTTGGAATTGACAATATGACATCATGAAGTTACAGCTAAAATCTCAATTTCACAGCTTCTTCCCCTCCCACCCTCTGGAAAATTAATATTCTGAGTATGAGATTTATCCTTCCTATAGATATTTTATGCCTTTGTTATAATTGTATACAACTTATATAAATTATAATGTTATTTTACTATCAACATTTACCTAAATGCTATATTTGGGCACTTGTTTTCTTTTTTTAAAAAATGTTTTCAAGATTGAAAAAAAATCACTATTTACTTTAATCAGAAATTTCTTTAATATTTCACTTAAATGGATTTCCCAATATATAAAATACAATAAGGAACTAGACATTTTATATCAAATAATCATCATTTTATTTTTAGTTTTTTAAATTTTTATTTTGCTCCTACTTGACATTATGTTTTCAGAAATCAGGGAAACAAAGAGAAAATCCTTACCTTTCCTTTTGCGAGCTTGATGTCTTTGGCCTTTCTCTTTCTTTGAGTGAGGCAATTTCAACTCTAAGTATGTCACTCCCTCACTCATTCCTGAGAGCTTCAAGCTAAAAACACAGCAAGAATCAGAGAGGTTTCACAGGACATATTGATTCAGTTAAAATTAGAGATATGGAGAAAGCTAAATGAGTGATCCATACTCTGGCCTGTAGAAGTGAACTAAAATCACCATCTCTCTGGAAATATCAAGAAAGATAATTTTTTAAAAATTTATTTTATTTATTTGAAAAGCATAGAGTTACAGAGAATAAGGGAGAGACAGAGAAAAAAGATCTTTCAGCTGCTAGTTCACAGTCAAGTGTTCATTTAAATAAATGACCAAAAATGTCCAATGAATCACATAGGCAAAGCACAAATAGCTTCAAAATATTTAGATATATTCTTAGAGGACTAATAAAAAATGAACTACTGATGAAATTTGAGATATTCAATGATTTAAGTGGACAGTGGAATTTCCCCACAAAAGTATTTTTGGTCACTCTACAAAAAATCAGTGTACTGTTCTTTGTAGGCAGATTTGAATTTAATGTTCTTAAATTATCTTCATAGGTCACCATTTAATTGCTTTGTAATTTGAGGAAATTTGATTTAAACAGTCATCAAATAAGGACAAAATGTACAAATATACTATTCATTGTTCAATAACTTTTTCTCTAAGACAATAACAAATTATAAGGTAAACCTTAAGGCAAGGTCATGTATTTCCAACAACTGTTTGTTTAATTATTTTTCTATGCATATCTGTTTACATAAATAACAAGGAAGCAAATTGGTGAATATTAAACTAAGTTTCTTTTGATAGAAAAACAATCACACCAACATCATTCCAACTTTTCTATTACAGGTGACTTCAGAAGAAGGGAATTGAAGTGTGGCATAATTAATTGCTAGTCAGCTAGGTGGCATCCCTTGTGATGAGAAATAAAAGCACAAAATAGAATATCTAAAAGAAATATTCCTCCAAACACCAGAAAATTTAAGGGAAAATCAGAGTCTCTCCCTGTTAAATTACCTTTGACACACTCTCGTTCTGACCCATTCCTGCCTTCTCCTCTAGAATAAAGGTAACTTTAGGTATTAACATGAATCATAGTTTAAATTCTTTCTTGAAATAATTCAAAACTCTCAGGTCTTTCTACATATCTCTCCCGGACCAAGTGCTACTCTATTCCTCTGCCATCAGCAGGGTGAGAGGCGACATGGAGATGGACTCAAACACCCACAGTAGCTGCTGTCTGTGACTGTACCTTGGGATGACCCCAGCTGGAGCACAGGCTTGGTCAGGAGCAGGTGAGCACGTCCCGGCTCTGCTGGCTTCCCCTCTGCTGTGAGACCAGGCGGGTCCTGATGTGTGAGACCGTCCCTCACAGGGACCTTGTGTGAAGGTGCAGATGATCACATGACACTGATATTCCCACACAGAAAGTTTCCAGTGGTGTCAGTGTCTCACTTGTTCCCACCCATGTGTCAGAAAGGCCATCAAGAATAAAATGAAGTATCTTATGAATATTTAATGAATCAATTCGAAGTTGAACCTTAGCAGTTACTGTAAAGCTTGGAAAACAAACAAACAAACAAACAAACAAAAACAACAGGCATCTCAGAATCTCATGAATTTAGGAAATAGCTCATAATAAAACTTTTAAAACTATAAAAAATAAAAAAGAAATACTCATATCCAACCCAGAGTGATTTCTACAATTTTCATTTTGTAGAACAAATTAAAATCTGCAACATCTTAGATATATAGTAAAAATGTAGGAATGCCAAAATATGTACAAACATTGGCCTATTTTTTTAAAAAAATCAATCTATGAATATCCAGACTACTTGATGATTTACGGTAACTATAAATATATACAATCCTGAGTTGATTAATTTGCAAACAGAATTTTCCACTTCTTGTATTCTCCTCCAGTTGTCTGAAGAAATAGACTCTCTTTAAATAAGGAAAAGGCAGAAGCAGCGATAGAACGGCTTCAAATGAGTTCAAACATGGCTCTTCTAAAGAAGACTCCTCTAGTGCACTAGTGGTAGCTACAGCTGTCAAAATTTAAAAATCATTTGTCTAATTCAACTTATCCCTAGAGGTAGGTGCTAGTTAGTTACAAAAGCAATTTTTTTTTTTTTCAGATCAACCATGTGAATCAGTTCTTGGCTAATGTCTATCTCTACTCTATGCTATCATCCATTGGTTAATTATAAAGATATTCTCACCAAAGTTCTTATCTGTCCTTAAAACACCCACACACCTTTGCACCAAAAATAAGCAATGTATTTTTAGTGCTTCTCAGAACGTTTCTTATACCTCTTTTCTACCTTAAATTTATGTACCCTTTAAGGTCCACTGAAGTATCATTCGTGTGTATTATTTTACATCTACTTCACCTCACGTGTATCACATTAAAAAATAAAAAACAAGTAACATTCATGGAATGAATCAATAATAAGATTTAGAAATCAATATACAATCTGAAGTCTAAATAAAAGTACTTAAAATGAGATAACATAGATTAACAGCAGAACAGCTTAATTATGTATATTTCATGGTAACGTCAGGAGTGCACAAAATTTTGAAATAATTTTTTAAACAAAGGTCCAAAAGAAAATTGGCTTTTTTTTGACAGGCAGAGTGGACAGTGAGACAGAGAGAGACAGAGAGAAAGGTCTTCCTTTTACAGCACTGAGCAGCTGATCAGCACCGTGCTGATCCAAAGCCAGGAGCCAGGTGCTTCTCCTGGTCTCCCATGGGGTGCAGGGCCCAAGGACTTGGGCCATCCTCCACTGCCCTCCCAGGCCACAGCAGAGAGCTGGACTGGAAGAGGAGCAACCGGGACAGAATCCGGCGCCCCGACCGGGGCTAGAACCCAGGGTGTCAGTGCCACAGGCGGAGGATTAGCCTATTGAGCTGTGGCGCTGGCCAAAATTGGCTTTTAGTATTTTTAAAAATTTGTCTATTTATTTGAGGGGCGGAGCTACAGACAGAGGGAGAGACACAGAGAGAGGTCTTCCATCTATTGGTTCATCCCCTAAATGACCACTATGGTCAGAACTGGTCCGATCTGAAGCCAAGAGCTAGGAGCTTCTTCCATGTCTCCTAAGTGGTTGTAGGGATCCAAGCACTTGTGCCATCTTCCACTGCTTTCCCAGGCCATTAGCAGGCAGGATTAGTACCAGCACTCATATGGGAGTCTTAACAATACCACACCACAGTGCTGTCCTTGGCTTTTAATTTTTATATTACACATTTCTTATAGACTGCTGTTTTCACCTATTTGCTTTCTAGTTTAAAACTGGTAAAATGTTTGGTATGGAGAAATTTTTAGTTCAATATTCTTTGTTACATTACAATGTAAAGAATAGGGATAAATGGGTTAGTGAAGAAAGAAAAAATGTTTTTGTGTGAACAAGAAATAAAAAAGACAAAAATTGATCTACCTTATTTTTGATCCTTAGAATATTTCTACATCAATTTTCCCTCAATAACTAATACATTGGTATATTCAGTCTCAAATTAGGAGCATTTCTATTATAATTTTGCTTTTGGTGACAAAAGTTGGGCCTTGGTTTGTTTTCTCTGATCACTATTTACATTTTGCTTTTAAAGCAACACAAGACTGTACCTTTAGAGCCATAATTAAAAAAAAAAAAAGGTGTTTTTGAGGCCAGTAATGTGGCACAGCAGGTTAAAGCCGTCACCTGAAATGCAAGCATCCCATGTGCTGGCTGCTCCACTTCCAATCCAGCTCCCTGCTAATGTTCCTGGGAACACAGCAAAAATGGCTGAAGTACTTTTCCCCTTCCCCTACCACCCATTTGGGAGACGTGGATGGAATTCCTGATCCTTGTCTTTGTCCTGAGCCAGCTACTGTCAATGCGGCCATTTGGGGAGTGAGCCAGCTGATGGAAGATTCTCTCTCTCTTCTCCTTCTCTATCTATAACACTGCCTTTCAAATAAATAGATTCTTAAAAAATATATATTTTCTCATACTTACCATTTCTTACACTGTTTTCCCATCCTATTTCCTATCTCAAGTGGACAGTTATGAAATAATTGTTGGTTGAGTTATTTTTCATACGGGAAATGTCAAAATAACTCTTATGTGATTTTCTAGTAACCCATTTTAATGCCATTTTTGTGGAAGTAAAAATTCAAAAAGAGCCTTCTAAAATATTGGTTTTTTAAATATATACTGACTGTATTATTATTTGGTAGGTTGACTCAAAAGTAAGTGGGACATAGCTAGAGAATGAAGGAGATACGGAGGCGGAAGGCACTGTGGGAGCCTGGATGCGGTCCTGGAAACCAAGGGTATCAATGGAAAATGAATGAGGCCTAAGTCAAGTCTAGAGCAGAACTAAAGATCACAGACCAACATGGGGCTCTTGATTTTGATAAACATAAGATTTATCAACTTATGTAACGTACGATGATAATAGGAAGGGAAATAAATTGGCTCAGGTGTCTATGAGAACTCTGTACTAAATTGCCACTTTTCTATAAATCTAAAATTTCCTCAAATTAAAAATTGCTTCTTACATAAGTATAATACTAACATCATCATTCATTTTCTGGAACTCTGAAGACCACTGATCCACATGGAATATGTCATTACAGAGAGAAAAGTGTTGTAACTCTGCATTAAAGAGCTGTTGTTTGAGAATTTTTGTCTCAAAAAAGTATGTTAAAAATGAAACTATGAAGTGAATAATTGCCCTTGAGCAGATTATAACCTATTCTACTCAGATGTAATATTTTGTTTATAGAAAAATCATCAGCTATTAGAAATATTTGCCTCTTAATTTTGAAACTGTTAGTACTACTGCCCTAAAGATTATTTCATGATGAAGGGAGCGGGGTATAATTTTCCCATTTCTTTAGAAAGAACTGTAACTTTCTTTTTTAAAAAAGATTTATTTATTTATTTATTTATTTGAAAGAGTTACACAGAGAGAGGAGAGGCAGAGAGAGAGACAGAGAGAGAGAGAGAGACAGAGAGAGAGAGAGAGAGAGGTCTTCCATCCAATGGTTCACTCCCCAACTGGCTGCAATGGCCAGAGCTGCGCCGAACTGAAGCCAGGAGCCAGGAGCTTCTTCCAGGTCTCCCAGTGCGTGCAGGGGCCCAAGGACTTGGGCCGTCTTCTACTGCTTTCCAAGGCCACAGAAGAGAGCTGAATTGGAAGTGGAGCAGCCGGAACTTGAACCAGCACCCATATGGTATGCCAGCACTTCAGGCCAGGGTGTTAACCCACTGAGCCACAGCACTGGCCCCAGAACTGTAACTTTCTAAAATCACCAATCTGTTCTGTTCACAACCACTTGCAATATCCATGGTGTTTCCCTTATTTAGAACTACTGAATATTAATATTTAGGAGGGGAGTAATAGAATTAACAATGATAAAATCTTCTGATTTTAAAACTCAGAGAGAGAACTATTAAGGATCCCTTCCTAGGCCACTCTGCAGTAAAAGGAAGGAGGAACAGAGAATGTATTCAAAAACAAGTATACATCTGGGAAGTACTGTTTGGTATAGTCAGTTCGGAACCAACCAAGATTCAAAAGATTCAATGCAAATGCTAAGGAAAAAATTTCTGATTGTGGCAATTGGAGATATTTAAGAAATGTAGAAAAGCGAAAATAGAAATCAAATCATATGCTCTAGAAAAATCCTCAAAAAAAAAATTCAGGTGGAAACTCTAAGTAATTCCTGATTTTCTGTCTCCCTTTCCGCATTCAAGCCCAGGTTTCTGTTGGGTGAGTCTGGGCCTCCATAGAGGTCTACTGACTGTTCTTCCTTCTGCATAATGCCTCAAAGTGTATACTCAGTAAATGTTAATTAGTTGGGTGACTCATCCAGGAACCAATAGGAAACTGATCATGTTGTGGTTGTCCTGTTGAATAACCCTGATGTTCCAAACTACAAAGAAAACTGTATAGCTTGGAAAAAGTCAAAATATGGGGATAATTAATGGTACTCTCCAAAATAGTATGCCCAGCCATACGGTAATGGGTAACTTACATGACATTAGTTAGACTCAGCAACATCTCTGAAACTGTCTCAGATTGTTATCATCTTCATTTTATACATGAGGAAACGGAAGTATAGATGCTGGTAATCAGGAGACTGCTGCTGTCTCATACTTGTTGAATTTCCATACTACCCAAAGCAATTTACAGATTCAGTGCAATTACCGTCATAATACCAATGATAACTTTCACAGAACTGGAAAATTCATATGGAAACAAAAAGGGCCCCAAATAATGAAAGCAGTCCTGAATGATAAAAACAAAGCCAGAGAGATCACAGTACCAGATTTCAAAACATACTATAAGGCTATTATAACCAAAATAACATGGTACTGGCATAAAAATAGACATATAGATCAATGAAACAGCATATAAACCTAAAATAAATCCATGCTTCTATTAGCAACTAATCTTTGACAAATAAGCTAAAAAAATTCCCTGGAGAGAGTATCTTCAGTAAGTGGCAATGAGAAAATTGGATTTCCACATGCAGAAGTTTGAAACAAGACCACTACCTTACACTCTATACAAAAATCAAAGACCTGAAACTATCAAACTACTAGAGGAAAACATAAGGGAAACACCAGAAGATA